TAAGAGTGCAGCTTTTTTTTGTTTATGTGCATTTGCCAACCATTGCACCAAGCTGAAACTGGTTCTAAGGCCGCATTAAAAGCAATATGGTTATAGTAAGAGTTTATTTCTTTGTACAGGATGCAGTCATCTGCAAATAACCTGCATCCAACATTGACAAATGAAGGCAGATCATTGACAAATAGTAATAATATTACCGGCACGACTGAAGATTGGACATGGTTTATTTCTAGGAACTGCAACCTTACTGCAAGAAAATCGGTTATCCACTCAAGACTTTTTGCCTTGCCAAGAGCAAGTTGTAGCTTGATAATAAGTTCGCTGAGCGACACCCGATCGAATGCTTTCGAGAAATACAGTGGAATCAGATCCATTTGCTTTTGCTGATGAATGGTTAATAACACATCATGAACCATTTCAATGAGTTGTGTTATTGTAGACATGCCCTGGCAGAAGCAGTGTGTAAAAGGAGATAGTATTTTGTGTTCTTCAACCTGTTCCGTTATGTGCTTTAAAATAATGTGTTCGAGCAGTTTACCAACCGTGCATGTTAATGAGTGGGCCGAGAAGGTTTGTTTTTATTTCCAGCCTTATGTATGGGAATCACTTTAGTTTTTTTCCAATCCATTGGTGCGGTACGCAACAGTGATCGGTTAAAAAGCAGACATAGGTATTTTGATATCCACTCGGCATATATTTTAAAAAATGCAATTGGTATTTTGCCCGTCTAGAACTTTTTTTCCATCCAAGGTGAAAAGTAAGATAAAGACTCCTGCTTGTGATATAAATATTTGCTCAACTCACATTTCTAATTTCCACGAGGTTGTTTATCATCAATTGTAAAAATAGATAGGAAATAGCTGTTTAATGCACTTGCGGAGTGGGCATTTTCCTCAGGTGTTTCTTGAGTCATTTCACGGACCTTGGAATTTATGTATTGTCAAAATTTGGTTGGGGAACTCTTCATGACCTGAGGGATACACATTGCTGCCTCAATTTTATTTTTCATGTCACTTATGCCTGTGCTCAGATTTCGTCAGCAATAAATGTTCAGTTTTTGTTTTGCATTTTTTTCTCAAGGGCTTCACTTTTCTTTTGTCATGTATAACATCACCTGTCTTTTTTGTCTTCTTTTTAATGAAACAAGATTTTGCAAGCAATAAAGACCGATTTTCTTGAATTTATGCCACAACATATTTTTACTATCGCAGTGGAGTCTGAGACTAATTCCTGAATTGGTGCAACTTTGCCAAACAGTAAGTAATGTATTGATACATGATCAGCTATACTAAGTTCTGAAAATGTTTCCTGTGCGTAAGCAGGTGTTCTGCAGTCATATATAGATATTCTACAATTAGTTATGTTATGATCCCAGATTCCATCTAGTATCTTTGCTTCATATATTGGGCAGTTATTAGCAACAAAGATTAAGTGTAGTGCACTCGATCTGTGTCCTGTAGACATGTAGGCTGTGTCACTATTTGCAAAAACTTTAAAGAAAGCATTAAATGGCAAATGATTTCCAAGCAGGTGCTGCGGTACTGCATTGATTCTCAGTTGAAGTCGGGCAGATTAAAAGTTTCCCACTAGGATGACTCTGGAACTTATGGTGCACAGCACATCCATACTCTCAATGCTCGTTGAAGGGGTGCAGTATACGCACCAGAGAACGTGGGTTGTCAATTAAAATTTGCAAGTAATGCCATCTACGTCTGGCAGTAATGTGAAAGGAATTCTAAAAGGATTCGCGATCATACACTATCCTTGCATATGGCGTAGTTTGGGGGTGTTAGTTCAGAGTCTTCGATATCACTTGTTAGTCAAGTTTCAGCAAGTCGAGAAATCGGGTTCGAGGCAGATAAGCAACGATTTTAAAGCATCTAATTTGTTCGTTACACCACGCACACTCACATTTGAAAAAGTTTTGTGTGATGGCTTCGTTGACGATGCCTCCCTAGATTTGGGATTAACGTTTCAAGTTTTGCATTCTTAGGGTACCTCTGGTGTTAGCGTGGGAAAAATGGCAGCCATTGTCGTGGTCAAGGGTATTGGTTGATGATTCATCGGCTTCAGATGGCTGATATAAGGATACTGGTTGGCGGTTGGCGATACAAAAACACAGGGGGACGAGCAATCCAGATGTGTCAAGTGGTTTTACGACTTGACAGTTGTTTAGCACTGTTAGCTTCAGTGTCCAAAAGCCACTTTTTCCTCTCGCCAAGCGCCCCTCCCATGTCAGGCCCCTCCCACAGAGTGAATATACTGACTAGAGGAAAAGCTGGGTCACAAAAGCTACAACCACCAAAGCTGTAGCTTGATAAAAGGTTTGTTGTGCGACACTCAATCAAATGCTTTCGAGAAATCCAGTAGAATCAGATCTATTGGTTTTTGATTATCTCTTGGTTTTGGTTGATGTTCACTCGCACTCGCCACTGCATGCTGCATAACAATTTTTCTGATTTGTGGATCACATTGCAATAAGACACTCGCATGAAGTCGAGTTTTTGGTTCATGGCAACAAAAGCACGGATGACGAGGCATAGAGTTTCCTAACATTAACTAGAGGGGGGGCTGGCCCTGTGATTGTTCATCAACCATCAGAATTATGGGTATGACAAGTATTTGCCTAGTCTTCGTGCTTGCGGGCAGCGAATCACACTTGTGGCTTCGTCTATTGCTGTTTAGGTTTTGTTTCGAACGAAAAAACAAACCGTTTTGAACTTCGCGACCGGACTTCAAATGGTGATCTTAAATGGTGAAGGTGGTGAAGCCTAACTGCCGAACATTTGCATTTGTTGTTTCGCAACAAAGCAGCTTCAAGTCACGTGAAGCCAGAAAGAATGTAAAGTATGAAGACTAGGCAAAGTACTACCCATAATTCCCATGCTCGCTGAAGCATCATGCTTTGCAGTTCCCAGAAACACTAGCACTAGAGTTTCTCTACTGCATATTTGGAAAACTGCATGTGATGAGGCAATGTAAACTCGCCCGGTGCGCACGCAAGCCGGCACGATCGGCACTACGCCAAGCCACAATACGCTATCAACGTTACAAACAAAATGATGCCATCTACTAAACAAACCTGAAAATGCTCCGTTCCACATGCAATAAATTGCATAAATGGCCATTGTATTGTTCCTATATATTATTTATTAAACGTCATACAATTTTCCTTCGTTCATAATACGTGAACACGCTTGTTCACATTTTACACTGTGAAAACTTGAGCTGCTTTAAACATCTAAATTTAGCGCTTCTGTATTGTGACAACAATGACAACTTTCTAAAATGTTTGTTTAGTAGATGGCGCCACCATCCCTGCAACGTTCAAAGCGTGGCAGGGATGCAACGTTGAAAGCGGCCTATTGCACCGGCTTGTTTGGGCGCTGGGCGAGCTGTATGCAATGCCTCGTCATATGTGTTTTTTGTTGCTATCATCTAATGCTCACGAGTCGGGTTCTCATACAAGAACTCAAGGCTGTCCAGAAGGCCCACGATGCGCCGGTGAGGCTAGGCCTCTCCGTCCCTACGTGGGAGTGACCCGTGATCCTGCCCCTATGAAACGGGGGTGGAATCCTCCAGGACCTCAATAAAGTTTTTCATCCATCCATCCATATGTCAAAAACTCGGCTTCATGTGACAGTCGCTTATTGTAATGTGACAGAAATCCATGAAACAGATAAAATACCAGGGGTAGTGGAGAGTGTGAGTAAACATCACTCTAAAGCCGAGAATTGTTTCATAATGGCGGTCCCCGAGTGGTTATAGGGTGTAATGCACGGGCCGTACGGGGCGTAGTTTCAAATATACACTAGAAGAACTCTGGGGCTAGTGTCTATATGGGACCTGCATTGCATGGCACTTCTGCGAACGTGGGCATTATGGGTAGTGCATGGACTCTCGTGGCTTGAAGCTGCTTTGTCACGAAACAACTGGCAAATCGTCTCCGTTGACGGCAAATCAAGGTCTCTACTGCTGCGCCAGGTTAAACTAACCACGCGAGTATTCGGCCCGTAGAGAAGCGGGATTTTGCCCTCGCGTGTGAATCTAGCTTTATATGCGAAGCAGCTCTTTGACTAGCCTGCATAACATTGTCTATTCGTGTCTCCGTGCCAACGCCCAGCACCGCGCTTTTCTCGCCGCAGTATCTGGAATGATGCCAAGTAGGTCAAGTTGCAGCTGTGCGTTGACGTCACTCTCCCTCACGCGCAGCAGCTGTTGGCTCCTCCGCCAGATCGCAACAGACTTATCTCTCGCTTCACCCTCTCCACCACCCGCAATGCTCGACTGCACATCAAGTAGAAACACCAGACAGATTTATTTACACGTCTGCAGCAGGCATACGGATGCGGCATGCCATTGCAAATGGCTAGCAGGCTGCGTCCATATGGTTGCTGCCGGTGCGCGACTGAATCTGTGTACTCTTTCGGCTCGTTTATCTGCGAAGAAACTTACACGAAACCCAACCCGCCTCCCGTGCCTTTGCGTTTAACACAAACATTCATTCGAATAAATGCTACACAGAGTTTCGCTTTGAACCGTTCTTCCAGCACCCGCGTCTACGCCCGTTTGAACAGGGTCACACGCCGTGCACCCTGCTACTGCTTTGCATTTCATCGAGGTTCCGTTCTCTTTGGGGAGATGGTCCATAATTTTTAAACATACTGACGTTCTTGTATACAACAAAAAATATTGGCAGTCACTCTAAAGGTTGATTCGATACGTTACGTATCGCTCGGTAGTGAGCCCTCATTTCTAGAATGTGAAGCTTTTGCCCACTTTTTTTTTTCTTTCTCTGCCACAGTACTTCCATATTATTGCGCTCGGCTGCTGACCTGAAAGCCAGAGTCACATTTCAACAGGGGCATTTCAGTGCAATTTAAGGAACCTCCAAGTTAATACCTACAAGATAATATCCAGTGGTGCTATAAACTAACTAATAAAACCAAAGAAGGTCTATTCAGCGTCGTCCCACACTGTGCAACGGATAGACACACGAGGCAGGCTGAAATAGTCGTCTTTAATCTATGATACAGGCGAGATTATGGAACACCGTTATTATACAAACTCTCGTCCAGAGCGGAAGAGACAAGGCACAAGGGGCAGCCCCCCTCCGACGTTAAGTAGGCCGGCGAGACTAGCACGGGACCCGTAAGCGCTTTTGTACTGCCGGCGGAGAAGGGGCTATTGCACAAGCCGCACTGTGCGGAATGCTAGGAACCGCTGTTGTGCAAAGCCACCGCGCTGCCGTTCATCAGGAGTGGTGCAGCGAAAGGCCGGAGAGCCGCCGCCACCGCCAGCCGCGTTGTTGGAGTTGCGCAGCACCGTGTACACGTCCTCGACACGGCTCAGTTCGTCGAACAATGGCATCAGGTCCCGCAGCTCCGTGTCTGACATGTCATCGAACCACGAGTTGACAGGTACCTGCAAACACAACAGTTTGTTGTGCCATGTCCGCTGCGGCAGAGCCCTCTGGCTATTTCCAGCATAGATAAACTAACATAAAACACTTTTGTCGCGTTGACAAAGTATAACAAATATGTATAACTCACTTGTGCATGAGGTAGTTAGATCATGAAGGTAGTTAGATGTTTCCTAATAAAAACACATTCATGGTCCAACAGTTAATGCAACAGCAACGAATTGGGATGTAGTACGAATCAAAGCTAGCATTAAGATCTGATCTCTTACACAAGAAAGTTCGGCCTCTCCAGGGAGCTAAACGCTGAGATTACAGCACGATCTCAGTCGAAATCACGCCCATCCAATGAAAGACCTGTTTATTCACATGGCCTCACAGGCTCCAACATCGGAGTATTGTGAGGGACGGGGAGGGATTACATAAGTAGTGGCGATAGTTGCTTAATTATGCAATAGTTGTCGACTGTTAGTACAAAATACAATAAGAACAGAAGAAAAGGGAAAAACATCCTTGTACAATAGTTACTAACACTTCAATCAGATTTGATTGATTTATATGTTGGGTTTAACGTCCCAAAACCACCATAAGATTATGGAGCGATGCTGTAGTGGAGGGCTCCGGAAATTTCGACCCCTGGGGTTCTTTAACGTGCACTCAAATCTCAGCACACCGGCCTACAGCATTTCCGCCTCCACAGGAAATGCAGCCGCCGCAGCCGGGATTCGATCCTGTGACCTGCGGGTCAGCAGCCGAGTGCCTTAGCCAATAGACTACCGCGGCAAGGCCACTTCGATAAGAAAAAATGGGCGTAACCTCGGTCCTAAAATGTGTTGCATTTTGAAATAACGATGTGCTGTGGAAGACCATTCAAGTGAATGACGACCTGAGGCAAAGGGGATGAATTAAATGCAACGGTTCGACTTGAAATACGTTGGAAGCTTAGTGGGTCATTCAAATGATGAGAGGTGCGAACAGGTTGGACGAGAAGTAGTGTTCAGTAATTGGCACAGTAGACGATCTTAGGCAAAGTGAGGCTATATATTGCATGATTGCCAAGTAAAAAGAGAGAGTGATGATTTAATGTTAGTTACATTGAAGCGATGGTTGTTTCTAGAAATGAAGCGTGCAGCGTGATTTTGAACTTCAATGAAGCCTGATGGGGTGACTCAATGGGTGATGCGTACTCTAACTGTGGGCAAACACATGTTTGAGATGAGAGATAATGGATACATTACCTTTCAGATAGCCTAATGTGCGCGATGCTTTAGCAGTTACTTTCTGTATACGAGATGATTAGCAAAGATTACTGGAGAATTGAATACTGAGGTATTTATATAAACAGGCATAAGACACTTAAGGTATTATTCAGTGAGTGATTCAAGTAGGAATTGGTCTTTTTGCAGCTGAATGTCATTAACTTACAGCTGTCTGCAATAGGCGACATTTGCCCGAAGTGCACCAAGAAGTTACTTGATCGAGATCACTTTCAAGTGTTAGGTGATCTGCGGGTGAACGGATTTTGCGGTAAATGATACAGTCACCTGCGAACAATCGAATGGTTGATGAAATGTTCGACCGCAGGTCATTAATGTAGATGAGTAACAAGAGACCCTTGTGGTACAAGATAGTACATCGCTAAATGAGGATGAGCGGCCATTGACTGAATTGTTTATGAGATGACAAAATTTCTTATCCGTAATGCTGTTAATGAGTCCAACTAATATTTGTTGTAAACGCGAATGAGCGACACGGCTTTTGAAAAATCTTAAAATACACACTATGTCTGAATACTCTTGTTCATACTCTGTAATATTTAGTAAATTCTAGAAGTAAATTCTAGTTCAATGATGCAATTTGCAAGTTTCATCGGCTATAGGGGGCGCACTGGGTGGTTCAATATCAGACGGAGTTAGGGCCAGAGTTGCTGAGCGCATACATGTGCAACCTGCACTGCAGCGTTTTTTTTTGCTTCACAATGGCTCTACCCTTTTTGCAGTCACATATTATGCGCCACTTAGACGCTCCAGAAACTCGGATACGATTGCTCGTCGAAGGCGAAGAGGTCCTGAATGCCAAACACACCATTTGTTGTGGCGTGAAGGCCTGCAGCCAATATTTCTGACACATTTTTGAAAAAAGTCCCAGCTTCGCCGCATGGCGAAACAATGAACGTGATAGCAACAAATGGGAAGGTCACGCGACGAATTGCAAGCGGAGCAAAATGTGCCCCGGGTTTCTCACGCACAAGTGATGCACGAAACATACACGTACAGATGAACGCGAATAAGCAGTCTCAGTTATTACTTCGCTGTGTCTGAAAAGTGCACCCTTTTCACTAACGGAGACTGTGCAAAGACTGCAGTGGCCTTTGCGCGCCCGGTAACTACAACAGAAAGTTCCAACGCCAGCCAAGACGTATATGCACATGCTATGATTGTCGCTGCTCCGCCGCTACTCCAATACTCTTTGAAAAAAATTACGCTGGCGGCGGCGGAGTGGTGGTGACAGTCTATGGAACTTGCGAATACGATGTGGCACAAAGAACCTCGCTACTTCAGCAGCCGTAGCTCGGGGTATCGCCTCTTCTCAGCATAGCGCATAACTAGCCAGTTGCGACTATCACCCATTTGTCGCCATTGGTAGACGGAGGAAAAAGGCCGAGAAGGTCCATGCCGACTGGCGACTGGGTCAAATGGCTTGAGAGGCGGGTCAATTGGTTGAAGTAATACAGCCGGCTTACTTGATGCCGAATTGTGACGATGACATTTATGACAGCCTTTTACGTATTGCTTGACATTTGCCGAAAGGCCCGGCAAATAGTGCGCCGCAGCTACTCTGGCAAGTGTTTGTGAGTAGTCTAGGTGGCCAGATGGTTCATCATGGCAAGTTAAAAGGACATCATCCCACATGTCCCTCGGAACCACGAGAAGGTAGGCACGGCCCGTAGACAGGGTGTTTTTCTTATGCAAGATGTTGTCCCGAAGACAAAATGTCAACACATGGGATAGATGGCATGATATGACTGCGGTACAAATTTTTAAATAATTGATTACAACTCGAAATTCGTCATCTCGCTGCCGTCTGCTCAAGTCCGATGAGCTGAGGGCGTCTAGCAAACCGTCATAGTCTTCTGCTTCCCGACTGACGGGAGAAACCGGTGCACGTGACAGTGTGTCCGCGTCTCCATGGTTCCGGCCAGACTTAAAAATGATGGTTACGTCGAATTCCTGTAGGCGCAAACTCCACCGGGCCAGTCGTCCTGAGGGATCCCGTATGTTCGCCAATTAACAGAGGGCATGATGGTCCGTCACAACTTTGAATGGACAAACATAGAGGTAAGGGCGAAACTTGGTGATTGCCCATACGACGAGACACTTCTTCTGTGGTCGAGTAATTCGCCTCGGCATGGGACAGTGAGCGGCTCCCATAGGCTATAACTCTCTCCTCTCCGTGTTGATGCTGAATGAGAAGTGCGCCGAGGCCGATGTTACTGGCATCAGTATGCACTTCTGCCTCAGCATCGCTGTCAAAATGTGCAAAAACGGGTGCTGACTGCATGCGCTGTCATGGCTCGGCAAAAGCAGCCTGTTGTTCGTTGTCCAGGACAAATGACGTGTCATCTCTGGTAAGGCAAGTCAAGGGTTCCGCTATTTTCGAGAAGCCTTTAAAAAAGCCTATAATAAGCGCACAAGCCTTGGAAGTGTCAGACAGCCTTTTTGTAGGTAAGAACTAGAATAGCGGCCACAGCAGTAAGCTTGTAAGGTTTGGGTCAGACACTTCTGGCGCTCACCACATGGCCGAGGAACTTGAGCTCTTCCGCATGAATAGCCTCTAGCACACTCCATAGGAGGTGAAGATGTTGTACGAACGTTTCAGGAAAGACGAGAAAATCATCAAGGTATACAAGTTTGCCATTTAAGCCCAGGGAGTACAGTGTGAATCATACGCTGGAATGTTGCCGGTGCTGAACACAAGCCATAAGAAAGAACTCGAAATTCATAGAGGCATTCGGGGATCACAAAGGCGGTTTTCTCGCGGTCTCTCTCATCTACCTCGATCTGCCAGTACCCGCTTTTTAAATGCAAAGAGAAAAAATAGTGGGCGCAGCGTAGCCTATCTAACGAGTCGTCGATGCGTGGCTGCGGGTACACATCCTTTTTAGTCACGTTGCTCAGTTTCTAGTAGTCAATGCAAAAGTGTATAGTTCGATCTTTCCTTTTGACTAAGACAACTGGAGATAACCAAGTATTGTTGGAAGGCTCGAAGATGCCGTCGTCAAGCATTTCTCACACTTGCGTATGAATCACTTAACGTTTTTTGTTGACACGCGGTAAGATTGCTGGTCTATGGGACGGGCATCGCTGTACGAGATGATCCGGTGACGAGTGATGGAAGTATGAAGAAGGTTAGAAGAACTGGCGAAGGATGAGTGTAATTCAAGCAAAAGCTTCCGCAGTGCTGTCTGGTTATCGGATGATAGGTCAGAAGATATGTCGATATTGCCCAGTACCGTATCGGCGGTCTCCACTGCTTCAGATGTGAAGCAGTTCCGAATGTTCGCTATTTCATCTGCAAATGCTAATGAAGCACCGCGAAAAAGGTGTTGACATTCGTTACTGAAATTCGCAACAAGCAACTGACATCGGCCATCATGAAGCTAAATAATACTCCAAGCTGCACAAACACCTTGGGTCAGCAGGTGGTCCAAGTTACGTTCCGAGACCGCTTCCCCATTTTGAAATCCACAGCACGTGACATCACCTATAGCACTAGCCCGCGGAGGGAACGTTACACTGTCAGTGAAAACGTGAAGAACGTCAAGGCGCCATTGATCATCATGCTCGGTGGGCTGAGAAATCGATGCGATGCTCTTAGAAAACAGCCCCATACTCCTGGAGGAAGTGACCAGAACAATCACGTGGCACAAAGTGACTAGCTACAAAACTCGATCTGCAAATCCCAACTCTACTTATGCAGGTTCTGAGTGGAGCGACAACATAGC